ATGACTATTCTTTCTCGTAATATACTCTTATCAAATGTAAAGTCTAAATTTCGCACACTGTGATAGACTGTTCTAGTTCCACATGCCATGTTTAATTGATGTCAGTTATCAGTTATCTCCTGTTATTTTCCCTCTGAAAGTTCTCCACTGCCTTAACCGGGCAAGGAACTCACACTCTTTCAGTTCTGTTACTGGATCTAACTAACGCCTTTATCCACTGTGCCATGTGTACTTGAGTCTACCCCAGTGAGCGAAATAAAGGGTTCAGTTAGACAATCCAACCAACTGAAGTAGGCCGAAGCGTACAACGGCCGAAACGTTGTGATTACAATCACAACGTTTCGGTCGTTGTACCGTTGGGTGATGAGTATGTAAAACACATGTGGGTAGAATTTTCCTGCTAGCCGGTCCAGCTACATGAGAAATTTGGACTTTAATTAAGTCCAGTGAAGACAAGGAAAAACAAACACAAAACCGATAAATATATGCAAACAAATATATGTATTAATAACAAGAAAGGTTACAAGTTATATGGACCGTTGCATGGACAGAGTGTGTGTGGTGAATATTATGTGTGTGTGTTGCGTTGTGGTGAGTGTTCGTACGTACGTGTATTGTTCTTAGCGTGTTCCCAGCATTTGGGAAACGCTCTGTCTGTGAGGTTTCACATATTGTTGTTAGCTGAAAAGATATTTATCTCAAGGTGGCGGCCCAAAGGCCTGAGGGAAAAAGAGATCGAGGCGAGGAGTCACCCAGTATTTATAGCCAGGGGAGAGAGACCTCTGGTGAAGGGTTAAAGCTGAGTAGGAGCTAACTCCGACATGATAAACATGGCAACAAAGGACAATAGTCCGAATAATGTAAATAGTGTACATAATACCTCATCTCAGAAATATAGACAGATACTGAAGAAGGCCGGAGCGTACAATGACCGAAACGTTGTAATAAATATGGAGGCAAAGATGAGGACATTAGTCCGAATAATGTAAATAGTGAAGAATATGTTGGCGGTTTCAGTATTTTGAAATAGTTTTCTTATGTTGATTTCCTTGTTACAGATGCTAAGTGAGTAAATTCATTTAAAATGTCTTTCAGTGTGAGTTGGACATATTTTATATGTTGGTTGATGGGTGAGGTATGTGTAGCCTATGTGCAACCGAGCCAACGTTACCTCATCCTTTTTTTTTCTTTGCTGGACACCAACCTCCATACACCTGGGATTGGTTTGAGTGTGTGAAGCTTTTTCTTTGAGCTGTCTGTTCAGCGATTCTGCCATTTCTGTTGAATTAAATTGTTTTTTTTTTGGGTTTTTTTTTGGTTCGTATAAGTGATCCTGAAACTGTTGTCAAAGGTTCCATTTTGGGAAGACCGAGGAAATTATCTAGATCAGAAAACCCCGTTATTCCCAATTTTCAAATTTTTAAAAATCTTCCTTTGTGCTTCTGCGTTATCCCTAACGACTGACAGTAGTTGTGATTAACAAACTGTTTCAACGAAAAGGTAGCTCCGAATATGTCAGTGTGAATTTGTTTCCGTCATTTCAAATACAACATCTAATTAGTAAATCTGCTCAGTCAAAATTGGTCTGCTTTTTAGTTTTCGATGTGAATCGGGATGCTTCATTGACCCCCATAGATTTAATTTTTAGGGGAGGTGGGTTTGTAATGCAGTTGTGTATGATTAACAGATTGTCTTCCTAATCTCAAAAACGAGCCAAAGGGGGGAAGATAATGAAGATAGTAGGGGAGGGGGTAGCTAACGCAATGCCATTTGCGATGATGACACACCCGTTTCCACGTAGAAGATCCTTTAGAATAGTAATAGACAGATGCAAGAGCGCCCGTTTATACACACACAAATACATACGCACACTCAAACACACAACCGTATTATGTTTAACGTTGTTATTTTATAGATACAAGTATTTAAGCAAATGCTCTGTTTATGATAAACAGTATTAAATAACATTTACCGGCCTGAATGTCCGAGAAATTTTCATAGAAAATATTCGTTCTTTGACAGGATATTTTCTATGAAAATTTCTCGGACATTCAGGCCGGTAAATGTTATTTAATACTGTTTATCATAAACAGAGCATTTGCTTAAATACTTGTATCTATAAAATAACAACGTTAAACATAATAAAATGTCTTTAATAAATAAATTGTCGGACCTTGTCCATTTTCTTAATACACAACCGTATATATACAGGCAAAGACCTCGTCAAACATCCAGACTACAGAATTTCTATTTCTATGTACCGTCTCCCTTCAAATTATGGCCATTTCGATTTCTACGTGCTGTCTCCCTTCAAAGCATGGCTATTTTTATTTCTACGTGCTGTGTCCCTTCAAAACATAGCTATTTCTATTTCTACGTGCTGTGTCCCTTCAAAACATGGCTATTTCTATTTCTACGTGCTGTCTCCCTTCAAAACATGGCTATTTCGATTTCTACGTGCTGTGCCCCTTCAAAACATGGCTATTTCTATTTCTACGTGCTGTCTTCATTCAAAACATGGCTATTTCTATTTCTACGTGCTGTCTCCATTCAAAACATGGCTATTTCGATTTCTACGTGCTGTCTCCATTCAAAACATGGCTATTTCTATTTCTACGTGCTGTCTCCATTCAAAACATGGCTATTTCTATTTCTACGTACTGTCTCCATTCAAAACATGGCTATTTCTTTTTCTACGTGCTGTCTCCATTCAAAACATGGCTATTTCTATTTCTACGTGCTGTCTCCATTCAAAACATGTCTATTTCTATTTTTACGTGCTGTCTCCATTCAAAACATGGCTATTTCTTTTTCTACGTGCTGTCTCCATTCAAAATATGGCTATTTCTATTTCTACGTGCTGTCTCCATTCAAAACATGTCTATTTCTATTTTTACGTGCTGTCTCCATTCAAAACATGGCTATTTCGATTCCTACGTGCTGTCCCCATTCAAAACATGGCTATTTCTATTTCTACGTGCTGTCTCCATTCAAAACATGGCTATTTCTATTTCTACGTGCTGTGTCCCTTCAAAACATGGCTATTTCTATTTCTACGTGCTGTCTCCCTTCAAAACATGGCTATTTCTTTTTCTACGTGCTGTCTCCATTCAGAACATGGCTATTTCGATTTCTGCGTGCTGTCTCCATTCAGAACATGGCTATTTCGATTTCTACGTGCTCTCTCCATTCAAAACATGGCTATTTCTATTTCTACGTGCTGTCTTCATTCAAAACATGGCTATTTCTATTTCTACGTACTGTCTCCATTCAAAACATGGCTATTTCTTTTTCTACGTGCTGTCTCCATTCAAAATATGGCTATTTCTATTTCTACGTGCTGTCTCCATTCAAAACATGGCTATTTCGATTTCTACGTGCTGTCTCCATTCAAAACATGGCTATTTCGATTTCTACGTGCTGTCTCCCTTCAAAACATGGCTATTTCTATTTCTACGTGCTGTCTCCATTCAAAACATGGCTATTTCGATTTCTACGTGCTGTCTCCCTTCAAAACATGGCTATTTCTATTTCTACGTGCTGTCTCCATTCAAAACATGGCTATTTCTATTTCTACGTGCTGTCTCCATTCAGAACATGGCTATTTCGATTTCTACGTGCTGTCTCCATTCAGAACATGGCTATTTCGATTTCTACGTGCTGTCTCCATTCAAAACATGGCTATTTCTTTTTCTACGTGCTGTCTCCATTCAGAACATGGCTATTTCGATTTCTGCGTGCTGTCTCCATTCAGAACATGGCTATTTCGATTTCTACGTGCTCTCTCCATTCAAAACATGGCTATTTCTATTTCTACGTGCTGTCTTCATTCAAAACATGGCTATTTCTATTTCTACGTCCTGTCTTCCTTCAAAATATTGATAGATAGATATCTTTTCTATACCAACGTGTTTCGTTCCTTGAGGAAGTTGAGCATGATGAATGCAATTATTTTATATTTATACACAGAAGAACCGCAGAGGAAAAAATGTCGTAAAGTTGTCAAATTTTGAATTTGAGAACACACTGAAATACACATTTTTAAAGCTTGTTGTGTAAGGAAAAGTAAGCAGAGTGCCAAATGACATGATTCATTGCCTAATAAGCGAAAGTAAATAAATGTTGTATATATAAGATATTTGATGTTTATACATTCTTTTTATAGATACATATAATTAAGTAAATGCTCTGTTTTATAATAAACAGTATTAACAACATTTACCGACCTGAATGTCCAAGAAATTGTCATAGAAAAATATGCGTCCTTCAACAGGAATCGAACCAGTATCCTATACGGAACCGTCATATAGCCTGACGTGCCTTAACCGATCGAGCCACAGAGAATCTTTCGATTAGGAGAGTCGATTTTACTGCTTTTAAACTTCAATCTCTTACGTATATTCATATCTGCTCATGGCGTATCCAAATGTAAATAAATGACGTCACACATTATGAAATGGACAAAGTCCGACAATTATTTTAAGACATTTTTATGTTTATACATTCTTTTTATAGATACAAATATTTAAGTAAAGGCTCTGTTTAAAATAAAATAATTGTCGGACTTTGTCCATTTCATAATGTGTGACGTTATTTATTTACATTTGGATACGCCATGAGCAGATATGAATATACGTGAGAGATTCATGGAAGATTGAAGTTTAAATATAGTAAATTCGACGTTGCTAGCCGAACGCTCCTCTGTGGCCAAATCGGTAAAGGCACGTCAAGCTAAATGCGTATAGGATACTGTTTCGAATCCTGTCGGAGGACGAATATTTTCTGTGAAATAAAATGTTGTTTAATACTGTTTATTATAAACCGAGCATTTTCTTAAATATTTGTATCTATAAAAAGAATGTAGAGACATAAAAATGTTTTAATATATATTATATTTATTTTTTTAAAAATATGATTCCTTCGCTACATAAGAGTTCTCATGCTTCAAAAACAGGAACCAAAAACTTCAATATAATTATTAAAATTAAATTGAATTAAAGCATCATATCTATCTATCTATCTATCTATTTATCTAATTTCAGTCTCTTCATATATATCTCTCTATCTAATTTCAGTCTCTTCATATATATATCTCTATCTAATTTCAGTCTCTTCATATATATCTATCTATCTATCTAATTTCAGTCTCTTCATATCTATCTATATATATAATTTCAGTCTCTTCATATCTATCTATCTATCTAATTTCAGTCTCTTCATATATATCTATCTATCTAATTTCAGTCTCTTCATATCTATCTATCTAGCTATCTAATTTCAGTCTCTTCATATCTATCTATCTAGCTATCTAATTTCAGTCTCTTCATATCTATCTATCTATCTATCTATCTATCTAATTTCAGTCTCTTTATATATATCTATCTAATTTCAGTTTCTTCATATCTATCTATCTAATTTCAGTCTCTTCATATATATCTATCTATGTATCTAATTTCAGTCGCTTCATATCTATCTATCTATCTATCTATCTAATTTCATTCTCTTCATATCTATCTATCTAATTTCAGTCTCTTCATATATATCTATCTATCTAATTTCAGTCTCTTCATATATATATCTCTATCTAATTTCAGTCTCTTCATATATATCTATCTATCTATCTAATTTCAGTCTCTTCATATCTATCTATATATATAATTTCAGTCTCTTCATATCTATCAATCTATCTATCTAATTGCAGTCTCTTCATATATATCTATCTATCTAATTTCAGTCTCTTCATATCTATCTATCTAGCTATCTAATTTCAGTCTCTTCATATCTATCTAACTAATTTCAGTCTCTTTATATATATCTATCTAATTTCAGTTTCTTCATATCTATCTATCTAATTTCAGTCTCTTCATATATATCTATCTATGTATCTAATTTCAGTCGCTTCATATCTATCTATCTATCTATCTATCTATCTATCTATCTATCTATCTATCTATCTTTCATTCTCTTCATATCTATCTATCTAATTTCAGTCTCTTCACATATATCTATCTATCTAATTTCAGTCTCTTCATATATATATCTCTATCTAATTTCAGTCTCTTCATATCTATCTATCTATCTATCTATCTATCTTTCTAATTTCAGTCTCTTCATATCTATCTATATATATAATTTCAGTCTCTTCATATCTATCTATCTATCTATCTAATTTCAGTCTCTTCATATATATCTATCTATCTAATTTCAGTCTCTTCATATCTATCTATCTAGCTATCTAATTTCAGTCTCTTCATATCTATCTATCTAACTAATTTCAGTCTCTTTATATATATCTATCTAATTTCAGTTTCTTCATATCTATCTATCTAATTTCAGTCTCTTCATATATATCTATCTATCTATCTAATTTCAGTCCCTTCATATCTATCTATCTATCTATCTATCTTTCATTCTCTTCATATCTATCTATCTAATTTCAGTCTCTTCACATATATCTATCTATCTAATTTCAGTCTCTTCATATATATATCTCTATCTAATTTCAGTCTCTTCATATCTATCTATCTATCTATCTATCTATCTATCTAATTTCAGTCTCTTCATATCTTTCTATATATATAATTTCAGTCTCTTCATATCTATCTATCTATCTATCTAATTTCAGTCTCTTCATATATATCTATCTATCTAATTTCAGTCTCTTCATATCTATCTATCTAGCTATCTAATTTCAGTCTCTTCATATCTATCTATCTAACTAATTTCAGTCTCTTTATATATATCTATCTAATTTCAGTTTCTTCATATCTATCTATCTAATTTCAGTCTCTTCATATATATCTATCTATCTATCTAATTTCAGTCGCTTCATATCTATCTATCTATCTATCTATCTATCTTTCATTCTCTTCATATCTATCTATCTAATTTCAGTCTCTTCACATATATCAATCTATCTAATTTCAGCCTCTTCATACCTATCTATCTAATTTCAGTCTCTTCATATATATCTATCTATATATCTATCTAATATCAGTCTCTTCATATATATCTATCTAATTTCAGTCTCTTCATATATATCTATCTATCTAATTTCAGTCTCTTCATATATATCTATCTATCTAATTTCAGTCTCTTCATATCGATCTATCCATCTAATTCCAGTCTCTTCATATCTATCTATCTATCTATCTATCTATCTACCTATCTATCTATCTATCTATCTATCTATCTATCTATCTATCTATCTATCTAAACGGAACAATAATGACGCATGTGAAACACTGTGTAAAGACAGGTCGACTCTCAAACTTACACTCAAACAAACTGGATAAATTTTAAACAAGTTGATTTAGCTGACCACTCATCAGAATAATTTTTATGTGCCAGATTTTTTGTCGATCTGTCTCTCTAAAAATAAAAAAAAAGATATCCCCCATCTTTCAGTAAAAAAAAAAAAGACCGCCATAACGATGCGGGTTTCCAAGTCGCGATTTGTGATACCGTCTCTTATTCATTCTTTTCTCTCTACCTCTGGACATATGTGCTCTTGGATTCATTTGTGCGCATGCGTGCCTGCTCGTGTCTGCCCAAATGAACGTTAGTGTAAAGTGCCGAAGTATAAGGTTGCGTAGTGCTGATAGATCTGCACCTATGTTTCAACGATTACAAAAAGGCATTTGATAAAATGCATGAAACATTTTCTGAAATGTGAGGGAAGCTCGATTTACACAGAAAAAGACCTTCAAATAAACCCTAATCATTATTAAGAAGAAATAGCCTGCATGAGGATAGAGAACAAGTTTAGTAAAGACACAAAGAGGAAGAGGTATATTTTCTCACCGGATGTATTTAACCCATACAGTGAGATCATTCTAAAATGACTAGAAGACCTAACAGAATTTATTATCACGGGTCTAAACTTGGTATCAAATGATACAGATCTGATGACAAATTCAGAAGAAGAAAAAATGCATAAAAAAACTATTAGAGAATGTTGTCGAGGAAAGGATGAAGAAAGGACAAATTATTATCAATAACAATACATGGCTGTCAATAAAGGAGGCAGGCCAATGTGTGATATATCTATTGGTGATATCAAAATCAAGCAAGTGCTGAAATGTATCTATTTGCGTACTTAATTGCATTCTATGGACTGTCGTCCTCATCTTTGTTGCCATATTCACGACGTTTCGGCAGTTGTACACTTCGGCCTTCTCCAGGTGATTGGAATTTCGAACTGAACCCTTTAATTTCGTCCACTATGGTAGACTGTTCTAGTTCCATGTGCAATGCCTCTTTTGGATGTCTCATTTATCAGTGGAACAAGAAAAATAATTCCCGGTGGAGGAAATAAAGGATCCAGTTCGAAATTCCCATCACTT